TGTGTTTCCTGCCATTCCACAAGTGGGGCTTGAGGTGAGTCAGATTGGGCAAGGACGTGAGCTTTCTAACACCGAAGTCGAGCAGGAAGTCGGTGGCCCCCCCAGATCCCATCCATCCTTTCCAGCCTGCGTGGGAAGGGCTTGTTGGACATGAACTCTTCTCCCTGGAGTGTGGGGAGTAGCATTGACTAGGATGCTTTGCAAGGTAGGATTGAAGAATTTCTATTGTTTTATTTTAATGTTAACCAGCTGAATGTTGATTTTATAATTAATGAGTGACATGGAGTTTCTTCTAAAATCACCTGGTTTTATTTACAAAGGGATTCCGTCTAAAGAGCTAATGGTGCAGGTGTAGGGGACGATAAGACAAAACCGGCCAACCTGGTCCTTAAACGGCCCAACCTGGGAAACCCTGGCTTTTCTGGGAGCACTGAGTCTCAATCAAGCCAAGGAGTGCACGTGCAACCCCTGGGAGCCTTGTCAAGTGCAGTTCTGATTATGTAGGTGTGGGTGGGGCCCAGGTGATGCTGACGCCCTGGCCTCTTGTGCCCAGGATTTGGTCAGTGGACCAACGGCATCTCCTCAGAACATCAGCAGGAAGCTCACCTGGAAGACCAGCTCCCAGGCCTTTCTCATGTCTGGATTTGCAATCACAGGACCCCAGGTAACTCCTGGGCACTTTGGAGCTTGGGACCCACTGACCTGGTCCATTGTTGGAGGCTCAGTGTGCACTGAGCCTGGGGAAGACGTCACTGCAGACCACGCCTTCTCTCCTCCCCTGGCTGCAGGGCTTCTGCATCTTGATTTCCAACCCACTTCCAAAGAGCTTGCAGCAGGATGTTTTCAGGTCCAGACCCACCCTCTCTTGGAGCCCCTGTAATGTCTCCAGGGAGTCCCATTTGTCCGTGCTCCCTCTTTGCCTCCACTTGCTTCTTTAAGACCCAGGTCCTCTGAGCAGCTGCCTTGCAGTCTGGATTCCCAGAGGCAGGCGCTGGGGGTGGGGTATGGCTGGAGAAGGGACATCCATCTTTGTTGGTCCTGCTGCTCCCAGAGCACATAATTTGCTTGATAGATGTGTTCTGACAGCAGCTGCTCTGGGTCGGGTGAGGGGTTGTGCAAAAGGCTGGGTACATCAGGCTTTAGAAAAATTGAGACGAGGAAGGTAAAACCTGGGAGACAGACAAGGTGAGGAAGGAAAGTGCCCAGGCATGGTGTGCCCAGTTCCCTGCCCCATGGCCTGCTGCGGGGAGGAAATGGCAATCCAGGCTCAGGGGCCTCAGAACAGGGGCTATGTGACTATTATAATAAATGCCACTCTGTGTGTGGCAGATTGTGTTTCAGAGGTGACTGGGGCCATGTCCCACATCCACTTGATTTTCTGTCTGGGCTCTCGCCACACCATAGTCAAGAGACAGAGATATTTCTTCTGCTTTGAATCTAGCTGGACTTACGTCTCAACTCCTAACTAACAGAATGTGATAGGAATGAGACTACAAATCCTGAGGCTAGGTCAGAAAAAGCCACTCAGCTTCGGGCTGCTTCTCTTGGGACACCAGTTCTGGGGGAAGCTGGTGACCATGCAGATTCTGACTACCCCAGGATAGCTGCGCTGGACAGACGTGTGTCGGTGCTGGGCTCCCTGCTGACAACCAGCATCAAGGACTGGCCATGTGGGTGGCCATCTTGAAGGGCAGCCTAGACCTGCCCTCAGGTGATCACAGCCCATCCGATGACTTGTCCTGTGACCACAGGAGAGATTCCGAGTGGGAACTGCTCAGCTGAACCCCTGTCCGTTTCCCAGTCTACAAATTAACTTGCAAAGTAAAATATTTTGGGATTATCTGCTATGCAGCTTTAGTAACTGGAGCCTTCTGGAAGCTGGAGCTATAAGTCAGTCACGGGTACTTAAAAAACATTTTTCAAACAAAATTCATTACATTTCATTTCATTTAAAATGTTTTTAAAACGCTTGGGAACGGGGAATGGATTGTTACAAAATCAAATGGAATCATAAAAACAGGTAAAAACACACAGCTGTAGAACAGAGTAAAATGATAATGGTAATCAAGAACACTGGTTTCTGTTCATGTTAGGTATTCCATGTCTATTCTTTCATTTAGTTTTCATTCCATAAGATGTGTCCATTTTATGGATGAGGAAACCAGGGTGCAGAGATGTTAAGAGAGGGACTCACGTGGAGCCACACAGCCAGAGCCTGTACTGCAGAGACCAGAAAGGTCGTCAAGGAGGACAGCTAAGTCACCAAGCCTCCTCTCTTTGTAGATGAGGTACAGGGCCTTGGGGTCGTGTAGTTCAGTGCTAGGGACTCTCAGCCCATCAAGATACCTGGGGAGTGTTTTAAAATCCACATTACCAGATCCTGTTCATCCTGTCTGTAGGTCTGGGGTGGGGTGTCTCCAGAAAGTTTTGACCATCTGCACTTGAGGTCTCTGATTAAGTCCGGCCTCCCCTGTTGCACCTGAGAACACCAACATCCTATAAGCAGAAGTGGCTCCCCCTCCCTCCCTGCAGTACACAGCAGCTTAACAGGAGGGCTGGGGGCCAAGAGCAGGCTTCCTCATGCCCACACAGGGTTTCCCCCTAAGTTGTGCTCTGGAAGCATGGAGGGGTTGCAGAAGTTACTAGTTACTGCAGAAGTTACTACCAATGAAGGGATCTTCACGCACTACGATATGGGCAGCCTAGACCTGCCCTCAGGTGATCACAGTCCAGCCAATGACGTGTCCTGTGAACACAGGAGAGATTCTGAGTGACAATCTCTCCTGCAGAAGCCATGTTCTGGGTTTGGCTTGGTAGATGATTGGCAGAACCCATTCGATGATCTGGCATATATTCACCAGGTGACTCCTACATGCCAGTTGGAGGTGCTGGAGGCACAGTGCTGAGCAGAACTGTCGTGGGCACCATTTTGTTCTTGAAATTACATAAAAATGCATGTTTTTAGGACAATACAGAGGAGAAGGTAGAAAGAAAGGGGAAAGGATGGAAGGAGGAAAAGACACATAAAGACAGACATTATGAATTTTTAGTTTCTTTTAAAACTGTGTGTGTGGCTGATCAAATTGAGAATATTACTGTTATGATTTAGATATGAAGTGTCCCCCAAAAGCTCATGTGTGAGACAATACAAGGAAGCTTAGATGTGAAAGGATCGGGTTACGAGAGCCTTAACCTAGTCAGTGCATCAGTCTTCTGAAGGGTTCAACTAGAGGCAGCTGGGGTGTGGCTGGAGGAGGTGGGTCACTGGGGGCCGACCTTTGGCATTGTATTTAACTGTGGTGAGGGGAGTCTCTTTCTGCTTTTTGGTGCCAAGTTCTGAGCTGCGTTCCTTCACCACACACCTTCTGCAATAATGTTCTGCCTCACCTTGGGGCCAGAGCAATGGAGCCCGCTGACCTCTGAAACCATGAGCCCCAAATCTACTTTTCCTCCCCTAAAATTGTTTTTGTCAGGTAATTTGATCACAGCAGTGAAAAATGTGCCTAAAACAACAGTGACACTATTCAGAGTCCCAAGCAGGTATTACCTTCTGCAGTGTCCCAGCCCTGCAGTGTCTGAGCCTCTACAGTGACCATCCTAGTGGGCTCTGAGCCTATAGCCCCTCCCCTCTACAAGCTCACAGTGTGGCCAAAGATTCAGATAGGTCACACCATACAGTGTCTTGAGTCTAAGACTGACACCAAGGATGTGAGTCTCTAGACTCTGGCCGGGGACTGGGGTGGCTTTAGGTTGTCTCTCTGTCCTCGTTTGCCCACAACTGAGGGTCTTCTGGGATCTGTGACTTTTACTGCTAAAATAATAAGCAAAAAGGGACTGTGGCCACCCTAGATGGTCCCTAGAAGAGAAGATAGCTCCCCTCCACCTTTCCTGACCCCCATCTTGGTTCTTACTACCCCTTTTCTAGGAAGCCCAAATTATCAGCCTTGGATGGGCTTTGAGGCCTTCCCTACTGCCCTTCTCTTGTCCATTCTGCAGGCATCTCCTGCCAGGACAGCTGCCATGACCCCTGGGCCATCCTCACCTTCCTTCTGTGCTCCAAGTCCCACCCTCTCCACTGCCAGGGCCACCACTTTCAGTCCGATTTTTAATCCCATCTTCTGAATTTCTCATTGGCTTACCTGTCACTCAAAGCCTTAAGTTCTCCTGGCCCCGTGGCCCTCTCCAGCTGTCTGGAGCCACACTGATGGATACTGTCAGGTAAGGATTGAGCTGGAGGCCCGGGAGGTGAGATCCTAAGAAGCGAACTCTTTCAGCCTCTTCCCCCCCCCCCCCCCCGACTGTGACTGCTGACCGTTGCCCACCCAGTGAAGGCGCAGCATGGGCGCCGAGTGCTGTGGGTTCTCAGGGCGTGAATGGGTTCTGGAGGAAGAAGAGGGGAGCAAACAGGATGCGGAAAGCTGTCATGTCAGCAGAACCAGAATACTGCCCTTCCCTTTCCCTTCCTGCCTTTCCTCTTCTCTGGTTTCTCCTGTCCCAGTCCACCATCTTCTCTTGGAAGGTTTTCATCCTGGCTCTGCCCCCTAGTGGTGGTGTGGTGGCAGCGTGGTGCCATCTGGGTACTGTAATGGGATTGAAGTGGGCACACCTGACCCAGTTGAACCAGGTGCTTCCTCTCTTTTGTTCCAACTCAAGCCCATTTTAGCCCCTGAGCCTCTGCTGCTGGTCTGGCTGGCTCCCATCTAAGCCACCACCTTTGAACTTCAGCCTGCGTTGGAATCCCGGGTTCTTAAGAGTCTTGACTGTTCCTTACTTGTGGAGTCGGTCCTTGATGGCAGATGGCAACGGAAGATTCCACCATCTCAGAGACTTCTTTGACTTTCCCCTGTTGGAACTGGCTGAGAACCGTCATGGGGGCCACCTATTCTCCCTTCCCCTAAAGACTAGATCCTTCCCAGGGCATGCAGGCGTAGCCACCTCGGGGTTCTACTGGCAGCTGCGGAATGCTCAGCTTTCATGTACTTTTCTTTGTTTTGTTTCAGTTTTACAGAGTTTTTGGACCCATTCCAGAGAGTCATCCAGCCGGAAGAGATTTGGCTCTATAAAAATCCTCTGGTGCAATCAGACAACATACCTACTCGCCTCATGTTTGTAAGTACCATGTTTTCATGGCCGATTTGACCCCTTTCCCAAGGAAGATGAACCAAATGGGCTTTCATCTGTGGTCTTCTAACCCCTGCTGAAGATGGTGAGCAGCTTGGAGTAGTGAGGAGAGCAAGCCATCAAATAAAAATTCACTCCCAGATCATAGTGGTGCTGCTCGGTGACATCAGCAGTAGTAATTACCCAACACTCTGGAAGGAGAAGGGATTCACTTCCCTGGGCTATGTCAACACTAGAAGCCAGTGATAAGAATTTTCTGTTCCCTCTCCTGTCAGGATAAGCCTTGATTTTTCCAAACTTGGGTGCCAGTTGCCCTAGTAGCTTTTCTGGTTTCAGCTGGTCACCTGCTGGTAAGGCTACCATATGGCTTAACCTCAGAAAGTTTCTTGTGTCTCTTTCCTTCTAGAATAAATGCGCAAGCAACCCAATAGCTGGGGATATACTACAATTGTTTTCACCTCCTCCCTGTGTGTGGCAGTATCAACTGTTTACTCTTCATTTCCTGCACACCAGACCCTTTGCTGAGAGGTTAAGGAAGGATAATTTCCCTTGGTTCCATCCCATCTCAGTGAGGAAGGTGTCCCCACTGTCCACATGTTGCAAGTGCAGAAGGAACTTGCCTGGAGTCCCACAGCCAGTGAGCAGCAGCGCCAGGTCCAAGGAGCGGCTCTGGAGCTCAGGTCTGTGCCAGGAGGTTGCCCTGTAGGTCGGGAGCAGAGTGTCCAGGACTCCTTGCTGATGCTAATTAACCCCTGGAGAGTTGCCATCAAACCTCTCTGTAGCAGAGGAAATATTTAAACTTCCCCTTGTTACAGAACAGTAATGTAACTTTTGGATGGGCATCCTTGTGGCTTGAAGGTTATTCTTGATGACCTATCATTGTGTCCCAGCCTCTTGAGGTGGCTGCTCCAGAACATTCTTAAAGTACATGAGGGCTGCTTCTGCATTTAAAAAGAAATCCCTCTGATTTTATGGAGAGAATCTTGTGAAGTCATGATGATTAGAAAGATCTTTGTATCTGTAAACTCCCCCAAATGCCTATAACACCACATGAACATTAAAGATTGTTGCTATTGCTTTTTAATAATTACTTTTCTACTGGAGAATAAACCAGATTTTTGTGCATGTGGTTGGGAGTGGGTTAGAACAAATAACTAGTACTACTGTTAAGACTTTTTCCATTTCATCTCTAACTCATCTTCTATACATTCTAGAAATGAGGGAATCCATGTGTGCCCAATGAGTTTATAGCCTCAATTAGGGGGAAGCTTCTATTTATCACTTACTCTCATTCTTGGTAAGATTTTACATTTCATGAAGTTTGTATGAAACACAATTTGAAGAGGGATGGTCATACAGATATTGTGAGAAATTTGTGGCTCTGTCCTGGACTTATGAACAATGGATTGAAGGGTAGATACAAATGCCACAAATATCCTGGCCATAGACACACACGGGTTGGAGCAATTTGCATGTTAGAAGAGGGAGAATGACTTAGGTCAGTGATTCTTGGAGAACAGAAGGGTTTCAGCCACACATGCTGATTCCCACTCTCTAATCTTATGAAGTACGTTCAGCCTTCTATTTTGTTAATTGTAGTTGATGAATTTCATGTATTTGGTCATAAGATTGAGTACAATTCCATAATAGTGCAAGAAAAGCAGTGGATACAACTGTAATAACCCACATCACAAGGGTGGAAAGTACTTTGTCATTCCATAAATTAGATTTGTTCTCCTGAATTTCATTAAGAATTTTAATATATCATTTGTCAGCTTTGAGCCTTTAAAACCTTCCAGTGTTTGTAGAAGGGTATTTAATGGAGCACACATTTTCACTGGTATTTAAAATAGCCTGATGACTTTTGAAAGCTCAAATTTCATTATTTAATATATAAACAGAATCCTGGGTCTTTATTACTTTTGGTTGGAATGTTTTAAATCTAAAGGTGAACTTTTTAACTTTCCAACCAAGATACTTTTGAAAGGCAGCTGGTACTGACCCAGATGTTTGTTTATTGGGTGATTAGTGCCTTTGGAGGCTTGGGTGTGCGTGGGCGTGTGCGTATGTGTGTCTGTGTTTCAGAAGAGCCAGCTGGTCCTGGGTGACAAGAAAACCAACAGCATTGTGGTTAGGGGACTGAGGTACGTGCAGTGCGTTAGGGGACTGAGTAACTGGTGATAAGGTCACCAGGCCCCTCCCAACTCTCATTTTCTCTCTCAGTGGGAGGTGGGGGTGCTTGGAGCCCATTCCAAGAGCAGGTTTCCTCAAGGATTCGGTATTCCTGCTGACCAGGGCATGGCTGAGGATGCTTTTTCAGAGCACCGAGTCTTGACTTGACATTTCCTGGTTGTTCCCATACAGTCAGCCACCTTCACGGGCAGCTGTGCTCAGAGCAGTCACAGTTCCTTGCTGAGTGTGGGGTTTGTCAGAGCATGTTGAAACCCCTGCTTTTTGGTATAGGACAGCTCAGTTGGTATTTACTGTTGCTTTTCTTTCTGATACATTTTTAAAATTCTAATTAGTTATACATGACAGTAGGATGCATTTTGACACATTGTCCACAAATGGAGCACAAATTCTCATTCCTCTGGCTGTACATGGGGCAGTCACAACAGTAGTGTCATCATACATGTGTATAGGGGGACAATGTCTGTCTGGTTCCGCTGTCCTTCCCATCCTCACAACACCTTCCCTCCCTTCTCTCCCCTCTGCACAATCCAAAGTTCTTTCATTCTCCCAGCTGGGGTGCCCAGCTGAGAAGGATGGTTTCCAGTCTAGGGGAGGCGTAGGCCTGGACGCAGGCTAGCTGGTTCAGCATCCCTGGAAAACCTTAGAAGAGCAGGAGAGACTCAAATAGGAAATGGAAGTGGTAGTAGGTGTTCACAAATTTAAATCCACCCAAGTCCTGCCCTTTGCCTTTGTCTCTTCATTTCGGCTACAGTTTGCTGGATGTGCTCTTGGGATTTCACCGACACTGTGTTGCTTGGAGAGCCAGGGAGCCTGTTCTGGGAGAGGATGCTTCTAAGGAAGACAGAAGTAAAGTCAGATTTGTGCGGGGGAGGGCGGAAGGAAAAGAGGCAAGCTGGCTCCTGATGGACAGTTTAATTTGTGGGCTCTTCTCTAGAGTCTTTGACAGCTCTTTTCTTTGTGACGGGAGGTAATTGTGTACCCACAGTGGGGCCTTTTCCAGGTGTCTGTCCTGACTGTATCCCTGCAATCACTTGGTAGCACCCCTCTCTGTCAGATGCCATTTGCAGGCACCCCGGGCCCCTTGTGCTGTTGGACGTGGAAGCCCCTCTGCGACAGGCTCTCCTCTGGCTGACATTCTGACCTTGGGCTGCTCTGGCCCTGGTCCCTTCTGGTTGTTAAGGCTTTTGGCATCCTCTAGTCCTTCCCGCATCAGACATGCTGCTCCATGTTCTTTCATTTTCCAGGAGCACCTGGGGCAGCACGGTACCTGTGTCAGCACCGGGGATGACCCACATTCTGGGAGAGAGGCACTTCCTGGGGTGGTTTCATTGGTGGCTACACACGGTAGGGAACTAGCTGGGGACATGGGTCTTTTAGGGTATGAGCAAAGTGACCAGAGAATTAGGCTCTTTCCCACCCTCAACCTCATTCCTGCACTTAAGTGATCACTACCCAGATCTCGCGGCCTGGGTGGGCGGCTGAAGATGCTCTGATTCCACGTCTGGAGACAGGATCCTGGTACCCTCTAATGGTGTACTTTGGGTCATTGTTAACACAGTTTCCCAGGAAATAGTGAAGTTGTAACCAACAATTAGCACTTGCTGGATGCGGCTCTCCTGGGCCGTCTGTAGGCGGTGGGTGTGGGCTCCAGAATGGCCACCTCCCGGCCTCACCTCCTACTGGCTTTGCAAGTTTGGGAAATCACCTGCCCCTTGCCAGAGCCTCACTTTCCTTCCTTTATCACTTTAAAGGTGGACTTTCATAACCGTCCCTGCTGGAGTATAGAGCATCATGGGGTGGGGGGGGGGCAGACCATGAGGCTTCACTTGGTGTTGTGCCACATAATAAGGACTCAGTGGCTGTTGGTGACTCGAATGCTACCAGTGATGCCCTGCTCTGCATGTTATTATGGTAGGCCTGTGGTAAAGGAGAAAATGGAGACTCAGAGGCGAGCAGGTTAGGCAGCTGGCTCGAGGACATGGGTCAGTGTTGAAGCCCAGTTGGAACGCAGGCCTCCTCCCTGCGTCTGTCTGGGCTCAGCTTCTGGCCTGTAGAATAGGCATCATGCAGAAGCAGCCATGGTGCACCCTGCTTGGTGATGTCCATAGAGCATCTCAGTCCCAGGTGCTGTGCAGAATGTTTGGTCCTTTACACAAAGTTGCTCAATAATAAGCTATAGCAGCCTCAGTTTCACCATCTGTGAAATGAAGCTGATGGGCAAAGGGGGTCACCAAAATTCAGGGTGTCTACCTGGGAGCTTGGTGGCCCAGTGGAGGGGGTGCTGGTCCTGCCAACTGTGTGCCCTGTGTGTTCCCTCATCTCTCTGAGCTTTATCTGCACATTGAGGATGTTTCCTCAACAGAGAAGTTAGATTACGCACAGGAGAGGAGAGCCTGCAACACTCGCCTAGTCCCTGACAACTGTCGCAAATGTTTCAGTCATTTTCTTCCATGTCCCTGAAACAAGCCTCCTTGCCTTTCTTCTCCAACCAGGGCAGAAGGCATTTATTGTGATTTATTTAATGCTTCTTACTTTCTAAGGTGAGCATGGCTATAACATTATGGTTAAAAAAGTATAGAACTTGAACTGATCCCATTTTAGTACTTATTAACTGTGTGACTTTCAGCAGGTTATTTAACCTCTCTGTGCCTTAGTTTACAATGCACTAAATAAGGGCCTATTGCATAGGGTTGCAGTGACGATTGAGTGAATAAATTTGTGGGAAGTGCCTAGGCAGACCGTGATTCTTAGTTAGTCCTCAGCCCATGTTATTCTTCAGTATTCTAACCTAGGAGTGTCCATCAAATGGCCCCTGTGTCTCACAGGACATTTGGCTGGAGTTTACTCATCTCTGACCACTCCACTGTCCTACCCTGGACTTATCCTAGGGATTTCAGTCATGTCTGAAGCCCAAGATACATTGACAGAAGGGAGAACAGTCCCACGAGGATTTTTCCTGTCCATTTTTGTCCCCATGGCCACACCTGTGGGGAGATAAACGCGACCCCTCCCCACCTCCCTGTCCCTCTGCCTCTGCCCTGTGGGCTGCGGTGCTGGCCGGGCCTGGGAGGGTTCTCCTGGGGTTTGCTAGGTGGAGGGTGGTGCTGGTCCTCTCCCTCCTGCTGTTCCTCCCTCTATGTGGCCTGTGCCCCAGGAACATGTCCTTTTCCTAGGGTGTCCCTTCTGGGGCTCATCTCATAATTCCAACTCTGGGTTGAAAAGCATTTGTCAAAAGGGGGTGAATGGTGAATGCAAATATGTCCCTCTCCGTCCCCATTTGGGCACTGTGCTGTCCAGGAAGAAGGAACTCAGTGGGGCCCAAAAATACTGTCTGGAGGTGGAGGGTCTCGCATCACACAGCCACACAGGGCAGGCGCTTCTGCTGTGCCCCAGGTGGCACTGGTACTCTGTCTGAAGGCTGGTGTCCCCTTGCCTACCAGAGAAGCGCTTGAGATGGGAGCCTTGGACCCTCCTGGCTGCCCTCCTGGCTCAGGGAGCAGTTGATTGGTGGTTCTAGGAAAACACCCCAACAAATCTACCCAGGAAAGTTGAAAATGGGTTTAAATTAAGTCCACTGTCATTGGGGGAGCAGGTCTGGGGATCCAGTTAGGAGCAGGGAGCAGTACTGAAAAAAAGCCCCTTGGCCATCGGGCCCCCAGCTGAGGTCACGGGTGGCTCTGATGACTCCCCAGCTCCCACACCTGGGTGGTGAGGCCTCCCAGCTGGGCCCTTCTGTGTGCGCTGGGGACCTCTTTGGACAGCCTTCGGGAGCCTCTGGATAAAGCCTTTCCCACTCATGTTTTATTCTGGGGTTTCCTGCCTATCCAGGATCATTTTGTCATATTCTCTTCCCCTTCATGTGTAGGAGCTGCACTTGTTGGTGGGGTCATTAGAGAGTGAGTGCTCTTCGGTGAGTGGGAGCGTGTGAACTGATCTGTGTTGTCAAGGGCAGGGAGCTGGGCTTGATGTTTGGATTTGGGGGCACAAGGACTTCTTCAGCCATGACCATGACTGTGGATAAAGCAGACCAGTTACTGCTCCTCAGGCCCTGAAGGTACAGGTCCCGTCTCTGAGGTCTGTTTCTCAGTCACCAGCATCGGGACCATTTGACATGACTCCAGACTAGTCATTTGAGGGAGTCAGCATTAACAAGCCCTGGAGCTACTTAGGTGTGAACTTGTGGAAACTGGCCCGGAATCACTGAGTGAATGGTAGGCCTGGGGAAGGGCCAATTCTGTGCTTCAGCTCTGAGCCATCTCTCAGGCATCCACCTTCTGCACCTGTGCCTTGTGCTCCTTCGTGCCCTGTGGTGCTGGGACTTGTCTGTTTGATGCTTAAACAGCCCATAGCACCATAGCTGATAAGGAGGGTCATCGAACCAGCCAATATCGTTTGTGGCACAAAGACCTGGAGGCAGTAAGAAGGAGGGTTTGTGGCATCTGGTAAACTGTCTCTGAAGACAGGTGCCCAAGAGGAGTCCCCAGAGTAATTCAGCTCTGCAGTCTGGTTGTGGTGTGTTGAGCATCTCAACTTATTTTGAAAGTCATGATCATTTTCATGAATTCTGTTTTCATTAAAAAAAAAAGCATCTTCCAGCCATGACTTTGTCCCATCAGGAAGCCTCTCTCCAAAGAGTGATATCTCCTTAGAGCACAGGTTAATATTTCAGAACTGTGAATGGTGCAGGTTGACAGGTGCCCCAGTCTATGCCTTGTACCACTGACTGCTGGGCCAGTCATGGATTGTGGGGAGTTCAGTCCCTCCTGACATGGTTAGCCCAAGAAGTAACATAAATACCTTTTTCTTGGTTGTTGAAATGTTTAAAAGCAACTTACTAATCACGGAAAGCTGGATTGAAGAGTCCACAGGGGAGGCAGAGAACCTGGTCTCCAAAGCCCGGCCTTGCGGCTCCCCTCCTGTGAGGACCCAGGCACATCATTTAGTCCTGGAGCCCAGAGAAGATAGTCACAGGGCCATTCTGAGGACTCAGAGGCTATCAGCCTGGGCGCACCTGGCCTGGTACTAACCCACAGCAGGCTTTGCAATGAGGTTGATTTTCTTGGGGTCTCAGCAGCTGAGTTCAGTAAGTTTGTGCCGAGTGTCTGTGGGGAGGGCGGGGAGGAGAGGAGAGGAGAGACTTAATGGGAAAGGACTAAATTCTGCTTTGGAGAAGGGATGGATGTTTCAACAAGAAAACCAGAGGGAAATAAATGGATAGACAGTCCCACACTCTCATATGGCCCAGAGACGGGGCTGGGGGGCCATGGGGAGAATACAGGGGTGTCATTTGTGATGATAATTCATGGTAGTTGTAGACGGTTCCTTTCTGTTTAAAATGTTGTCGACGTGGCTCCTACCAATGGCAACTCAGTTATAACCTATAATCAGACCTTTGTTTTCTCAAGTCTCTAATTCTGGAAATGAATCCTTCATTCATTTTTGTTTGAGGTCAGGAGTTCGGGCAGGGCATCCAACTAGTGAGTTGAAGTGAAGCTGACTGGAACTAATGATCAACTGGCCCTTCTGAAAGCAAACTGATGTCTTCACAAGGGATTATTTGTTATTTCTTCCAGGCAATTTCTTTCCTCACACCCTTGGCCGTTATTTGTGTGGTGAAAATTATCCGGCGAACAGACAAGACTGAAATTAAGGAAGCCTTCTTAGGTAGGGTATTCACAGTTCCTGCTTTAGGGGGTGGGACTGAGCTTAAGGGCATCGTCGCAGTTTAGATATCTCAGCTGCAGCTGGTCGTATTAAGCTCCGGGAGAAACAGACGAGGTAAACATTAAGGGCTAAGAGCCAATGTACCATTCCCAAGGAGGGTTTCCAGAGGGTGCCCATGCTCGCTGTCCTTGGTGCTGAACCTGGGCCTGATGTCCCCATCTGAACTCCAGGCCACTCAGACACGGAGGCAAGGTAGCTCTTGGCTAAGGCAGATGGAAACCTGAAACTTTGTCACCACTGGCTATGCCATCTCACATTTGTGGCTCCTAGGCCCACACTCTGGGGGAATTCAGAAATCAATATTGGCTTGAGGCAAAAATGGACAAAAGCAGATGTCAAATAAAATAGCAATTGGAAACTTGCAGTCACTTACAGTGGGAGATGCTTTGGCAGTGGTTGCTATGTGGAGAGAGCTCCAACTTTGTCATTGATTATAATACCATTGTCATAGATGCTCCCCAGGATGAGCCATGTCCGCCTATGTCAAGAGTTTGACATTTTAGGGATAAATGTTTTTCTAGTCTTCGTAGTTATAAAATGCCGAATCAATGATAGGATGAAGAGCTGCCAACATTGTTTGGCTTATTTAATAACCAGAATAAATTAACCCATAGCCATATCTTTTGATTCCAAGGAAAGCTAAATAAGGTTATTGGGTTTTTTTTGATAACTCACATAAAAGTTACCTATAACTTCACCTCAAAATTTATGTCTGGTGTTTGTGCAGACGCACCATCTAGTTAGGTAGTGAACCTGGAAGAATGAAACTTCTCACTCAACAATGTGTTTAATGGTTGGGTTGTGGGGAAATGAAACTAGCAAATATGGTCCTCCTTTTTCTTGATAAGGTGCACAGAACAGTCAAGGGGCTTCCACCCTCAATGGCACAGATGTTGTTCACATAACCAGGCTTTAGTTAGGTCCTGTCCAGTTGAAAGGAATAGGATAACTACTCTCACAAATTAGCTTAAATGAATTAGGGGTTTAAATCCAGAGCCAGAATAAGCCATCTCCGGGACTTATAAGAAGAGAAGGGGAAACCAAGATATCTCACTGGGACTGGAGTGGGGAGCTAGGGCATCAAGAGGAGAGACCCACCTGGGCTCAGGACCATTGTCTGGACCTCCTGGCCTCACCCTCCTGCTGCCCAGACCTTTGGTTCATGTGAGGCTGGAGCTCCCTGTGGTGACTGTCCTGCCCCATGTCTGTCTGACTGCTCAGCTCTAGGGCCCGTCACTGACTTTCACTGTTTCTTGGTCTGGACTCTGACTCAGCTCATTTCTTCAGCCTGGACATAAAGTCCAGCCTGGAGTTGTCCTCCCACAGGTCAGCTTTGTGTCCCCAGGCTGCATCTGTGGGTTGGGTTGGGTTGGGTCACACGGTCTTGGTCCTTTTGACTGAGGTGGCAGAAAAGTCAGTTTCTCCAACACAAGCACAGGGGCCTCCCACACATGGCTCTAGCATCCTGGTCCCCAAACATCCCACCAGGAGCCATCTAGTTGGCCTGGAAGCCCTTCACTTCAGTCTTTAGTTGCTCCCCTGGCTCAGATCCACAGATAAACGATGATGGGTCAGATCCACAGATAAACGATGATGGGTAAGAACTGTCTTTCATGATTGTGGTTACAATTTACAGCTGGCTTTTGGAGTTGGGCCGTTGTGATGGCAGTAAGTAGCTCATGGTTACCTTCTGTAGACACTTTCATTCTCAGCTAAATCTTCCTTATGGTGACATTTCAAAATTGAACACCAGAGTCTGTCTCCTATGTGTTAACTGGGAAGGTGGAATTGTTGAATGTTCTGTTTGCCTAAATAAATGAAAACCTGCTCTGTAAAAATGATGAAGAGCCTTCATTGTGCGCAGAGTTTCAAAACAACCTCTGTTCTTAGGGAGGGAGGCTGGAAGTAGCGGGTGAGGGAGTAAACTTGAAACACTAAGGACAGAAAAGAGTGTTTTCTAATGTCTGGAATTCAGGACTTCCTCAGTGAGGTGGTGTAGTGCTCAGGTCCCTTCCTTACTCAGGTGTCCTGGGAAGACTTAGACTTCCAAACCCAGGTGCCAAGTTTTCCTGTTCTGCCTGTGCACACTGGCCCCATCTGTGCATCTGGGCCAGAGGAGAACAGTGAGGTTTCCCCATGCAGCCTTGGGCTTTCAGGCATTGGGCTGCAGAGCAACCCATCTGCATAATAGAGAGCGTGTTGCAGAAGGACTGAGGTCCGAATTTCCTACAACAAAATAAACAACACAGGCGCCCTAATCCTCTCTAATGCTTACAACCAGTGGTGCCTTCAATCTGGGTTCCAGCAAGCCAATTCCCAGGCCATGTCGCTTTAAAGTTCTTTATCAGACATAGTCTGGTTTGTCTTTCTGAGCTTTCTATTAAACTTACATTGCTGGGAGAAGCCGTAGAAGCCAGGCCCACTGGGTCATTGTCAATCCACAAGCACTCCTGAGGGGGCCATTCACTTCCCTGCTTGTCCAGCCCATGGCAGCCTCTGGTATCAGGAGGGGTCCCTGTGTTGGTCCTTGAGGGTGTGCTGTTCACATGAAAATATCCATCAGGTCCGTGGAGCCTCCACACCAAGCACCATGACTCCAGGTTCCCGTCCGGGCTTCTTTAGGAGTCGGGTAGAAGTGAGGCTGCCAGCTAGCAGCTGGTGGTTTGATCACATCCATATATTTTCTAGCTCAGCTACTTCAAAGTTCTTGAAGAACTGCCCTGTGCTGGGGTAAGCCCACCAGGCTCATAGGTTGGGGGTATGCAGTGTGATGGATCAATGTAGCTGTGTATGAAGTTCACCAAGATTTATGAGGGGCGATGGGAGATCAGTTAGTGATGCTTGCTTCCAAAGGGTTTATCTGTGCTAAGGCCAACCTCTGGCCAGGACATATGTGTGAGCTGAGCCCCCTGGGAGAGCAGCAGGGAGCCTGCCAGTCAGCCCAAGCAGGGGAGAGACCACAGTCTTGCCCTGCTCTCTCATAGCCTATTAATGACCATGGTTCTGGGAAAAAAATACAACCAAGAGAGCCCAGAGAGTTTTCTCTCCTTTGCAAAAGGGCCCTCTCAGCAGTGCTCTGAGCTTGTGAGATGGAAGAGAAGCCAGAATTTTAGGAAGGAGGGGTCTGTGTGTACAGAGTGCTGTCGGTAGATCTTCCCCTGCTCAGATGCAGTTCACGCACCCCCTCAGCTGCATGCTCGGCGTGTTGGCGGCAGTGCCACGGTGCTGCCTCGCGCTCTGCCCTCCAGCCCTGGCCCATCCTCCTTTGCCACCGAGCTCAGACATGGCAGGTGTTTCCCCTCCCACTTCAGTGATTCGTTTCCACTTGACAAAGGTGTTCAATTCAACTTATCCCTACCATTCTCTCTGCTTCCTATGACTCATTAAGAGCAGGTAGTTTTGTCCCCATCTGGGTGGCCTATGCCCTCGGTGACCATCTCGACCATCCCACAGTACTTTCTGCTTGCAAAACAACACATTTGTCTCCCTCGATGGTCCAAATTGCTCTAGGCAGCTCCTTCCCGAAAATGCCTCTCCACTGCTCTGTTACATAAATCTCAGCGAGAACTGAACAGTTACTATTGGCCAGAGGTAAATGGTAGCTCGCGTGCTTTGTTGTTCAACAGAGCCATGGAACAGGGCATCGCTAAGCTTTTATTGCTTATGCAAGGCCTTTGACCTTCCGCCACATTGATGGGGATGACTTTGCCTTTTGTTCACTCTTGATGAACCACAGAGGGAGGGGTGAGGATTTTGCAGGGAAAGCACCGTGACTCATGTCACTGGCACCCTTTGGATGATCTGTATTTCATCCAGTAAAGTCTTTCCAAGCAGCTTGGAGGAGGGCCCTGTGCTGTATACTTTAAAATAATGTACTCCAGAAGTTCTTCCTGTTCCAGATGGCAAAAACCACCACCTGGACAAACCTTCTCAAAATCCAGCGAGGTGCTTGGAAAAACTTCTCAGAAACAGTGACTTGTTTGATAACAAATGGGTGGCTGTCAGGAGTGATGGGTCAACAATGAGATAGTGGCCTGGTGGGATGTCCTGTTCTGCAGCTAGATTCCAGCAAGTGCTCTGGTTAGAATTATGCCTGAGAAGGTTGCCGGGAGGAAATAAAAAGTTATGTATCTTGCAACTAGTAAAAGAAATTCTACATACTGTAGTATTAAATCTGTTTATATCAGGCCAGAAAATGATAGATGGACTCCTCTGTGATGTTGAAATTTTCAAGTCAAGGAGGAGAGATAAATTTCATGTCATATTCACTTGGAGTTTTATGAGTCACCCTCCAAAGTCCTGCCCCAATTATATTTTTCTGTAGCAGCCTAGCTTCCCCCTTTTTTAAAGCACTGGTTCATATCTGTACAGTCATATTAAGTAGTATTCTAAATGTTACAGTGATAATGGTGGTGGGGACCATGATTAATGGGGTGGGGACAATGATGGTGATAATAATATTGATGGTGATGATGATGATGATGCTGATGGTGGTGGTGATGATGATGGTGATGGTGATGATGATGGTGATGGTGGTGATGGTGATGATTTTGATTTGAGAGCCAGCTGGTTATTTTTCTGTCTGTTGGTTTTGTTTTGTAGCGGTGTCCTTGGCTCTTGCTTTGAATGGAGTCTGCACAAACACTATTAAATTAATAGTGGGAAGGTAAGTTCCAAAAAGAAACAAATGGTGACTTAGACTGTCCAGGTCAACCATATAGGAACCATGGCCACAGGATACTACATAGGACAGATCCTAGTTTTCCCCTGAGTTGTTGCCATTCTGGTTTTTTTTTTTTTTTTTTTTTATCATCAGCATAGGTCTTTTCTCTCCTTAGAATTGCAAACTTGCTATTTTGTAGAACAGATCAACAGTAAGGAACTGTCCACTGACCATACTTTCTTATGAGCCACAGCCTGCCACTGGCATTTCCAGAACCATCTACTGCTATCCCAGGGCCTCACCAGATACCTTCTCTCTTATCAGTTTTGTCCTCTGATAAATAAAAAAGGTTAGTTGTTGTTCTCTGCACGATGAGATGTAGTTTGGCATTGAAATTTGGCTTAGGGCACATTTCTCTACTGCCCCTAAGACCTGATTTCTGTTCTACATTATCTTTCCTTGTCTGACTACTCTGGTGAAGAGCTAGTCTCTGCAGGCCCAAATTCAAGTCCTGGTCTGGACCCTGATGAATTGCTGGCCTTGGATAAGTTAGATCCCCTTTCCCAACCACAGCATTTATTAATTATAGACTTGGTAGAGGATGCTGGTCAGACATTGAGGGGTAGAAGATGGATAAAATTGAGCAGTGCTTGGCCTGGTCCTGCAGTTCCTCCCACCGCCTGTGCTTAGAGTTCTTTTAGGGTCCTGATAAAATACTGATTCTTAGGCCTCATCCACTGAGGTTCTGGTTCAGTAGGTAGACAGCCACCCTGGAGAAACCCTGGCCATGTAGGGAAAAGACCAGCAGCACTGATGGATTATTGAGGCCTTACCCAGATCCCAGAGATGTAAGGATCAGCATTCAGTGTACAAGAACTGTGACCCAGGATGCCAGGAAAAGGGTGCTGTGTTTGCAGCATTGGCTGAGTCTCACCCATGGTAGAGAGCCAGCAAATGTTAGTTGGATTACTGTGAAGCAAGGGACCATCACACACACCCCTGAGGATCCTCACCTGAGTGAGGCAGTCAAGCATGGGGGATGTGTAGGCTTGAGAATTCAGTTGCTGGGTTCAGAGCTTGCTTTGCCACTTACAGGTTGCGAGTGACCTTAGGAAGGAGTGTAAATCTTCCTAAGCCTTCATTTTTGGCAACCGTAAAAAGGAAGAAAGCCCCAGGTTTTTGCCTCAGTGTTCTCCTAAGAGTCGTGGGTTAGTTTTCTGTAGTCCGGACAAAATACCTGAGAAAAACAACTTAAAGATGAAAAGATTGATTTTGGATCACTATTTTCAGAAGTTTTGATCTGTGATTGGCTGGCTCTGTCCCTGGGTTTGAGGGGAGGCAGATCATCATGGTGAAAGGGCAGGGTGGAGGAAAGCCACTCACTTCAAGGTGGCTAGGAAGAAAGGAGAAAGAGGAAGGGGCTGGGGACAAGAAAGAGTTCCCAAGGGCATGTTCCCAAGGACCCGCTCCCTTCAGTGAGGTCCAGCCTCCCAATTATCCATTTAACTATGAGCTCATCAGTGGATTAATCCACTAATTATGTCAGAGCCCTCATGATCCAGTCCCTTCCCAAAAGCCCTGCCTCTGAACATAGCTGCATTGGGGACCAAGTCTTCAGGACAGGAGTTTTGGGGGCATTCTGGATCTAAACTGTAAGAAGTCCCATGGTGTGAGGCTCATGCAGTGCCTAGCATGGAGTCTGGCGCCCAGTATGTGTTCATCAGATATTAGCTGTGGTTCTGGCTTCGGGGCCAGGGTACCCCTCTCCCTGCTATAGCCTTCTCTCCTGTGCCTTGGACCAGAGAAGCCAGCGTGGGCCTCAGAGTTTTCTGCATCATGGAGCTGAGCTTTCAGGTCTTCTTGGGTCAAGTGGAACCTGCTCTTTGAGGAAAGGCAACTGGATACTGAAATTCAGGGCAGATTTTATATGAATAGCCTGGGGTCCTGGGAGCAGCCTATGGATTGGCAGAGCAGTGGATTGGGGCAGGCAGTACCTTTTATTGCTCTGGAGCTGTGCTTAGGTGCTTCCTATAAGTCATGCCATTTAGTTCTGGGACCTTGCCTTTGGCTGAGTATTGACTTCCCCCTTTGACAGCTGTGGAAACGGAGGCTGGGAAAGGCTGAGTGACTTTCCATAGGTTACACGACTAGTAAGTGGCAAGCGAGCATTCCGACTCAGGTCTTTCTGACCCAGAAGCCTGGGCTTCCCCCAAACCAGCATGTGCAGAGTGCTCTGGGGGAAAACTGCGGTGTTGCTGGCAGAGGGGGCTCGAGGAAGGGGCCGGGGCCGTGGGGAGGTGGGCTCAGCTTGGGGCTCATTGTGATGGCAGCATTTTATATTGAAAATGTCCATGGTGTCTTTTGTAGACCTCGCCCCGATTTCTTTTACCGCTGCTTTCCAGATGGAGTGATGAACTCGGAAATGCACTGCACGGGTGACCCTGACCTGGTGTCCGAGGGCCGCAAAAGCTTCCCCAGCATCCACTCCTCTTGTAAGTTCATGGTGGGGACACACTTCAGTTCCCGTGGGCACGTTCCTGGTCACTTTCTTGGGGAGCTTAGGTGGAGAGAAGAGCATTAGTGCGTGCATGTTAAGCACCATTCATTTTTCTTTGCTGTAGGGTGGTTGGCTTAGAAACAGGATGCTCAACAGGAAGTAATTAGCCTGGAGACAAGGCTCTGGGGTTTACCAACACTGTACGTGTTGTTTCCTGAGCTCAGCAGAGTGTGACGTGTGACGCTTTAACCTTGATGGCACGTGGGAATTTTCCATGTTCCCTGGGACCTGATATTGCTCAACTTAGTGTTCTGCCTGATTTATTTCTTCAATTGTGCATATTTCAGATATCTGTGTACATATATACATAATGCATATGCAGATTCATGCACACATGCATGTACGCTCACACACACACACACACACTCACACTGATGTATAGTTCATCTTTAGGTACATGAGCTGGGGTCAGCATCACAGCAAAGGCTGAAGAAAACGAGTCTGGGGCATCATTGTGTAGAAGGAACACAGGTCTTTGAATTGTGCCAAATCCTGGCTGTCATATATTAGCTCAGGGCCTCGGCTCCTGCTGCATGAAGTGGGAATGAGAATGCCTCTGCTGTCTGTCAATGAGCAATAACCACCACTTGCATTTCTGAGCACCTGCCGTGCCAGAATGTGTAGGTCCATTGTCTTATTTGGTCCACTCAGTAATTGCAAAGCACTTAGAATCATGAGTTCAAATAAGCAGTAGCTCTCTCTATTGTTATTTATTGTCAGAGATGAAGTTTCCAGAATATCCTGGCTCATGTCTTCATTCATTTTATCAATGTTTATTAAATGACTTGGATACCGGGCACCACGCCAGGTGTTGGGGATACAGACAGAAACAAGATGCAGCCCATGCCTTGAATAAGATGAGCCCCTGCCGTGGCATGTCCATAGGCAGTGGCAGGCTGTGTAGTAAGCTGGCGATTCTTGGGATAATTGGAGGGGGAACTATGGCAACAGGTGACTGACAGCTTGGGATGGGCCATGATGCCAAGTTCTTGACTCCTGCAGGTCTGATCATTGCTTACCTGGGCTTGTCTCATCTTAATCTTTCCTTTTCTTTTTTTCCTAAATTCTGTACCTAAGACAAACCCTACTAGTGGCTGGATTGAGACATTTGAGAATTAATGGAATGCTTTATCCTGTGACTGGCTGTGGATGTTTTGCCCAGAGCCATTGGAGTTGAGGGTCTGGGGTGCCAGGTACTCAAAATGAATCGCTGTCAACCTGAACCCCAACATGCCAGGCTGGGGTTGTTCCCACTTAAGTTACAAGGACACTGAGGCTCAGACAGACCTAGTAACTTGTCCAAGGATGACAACCTCTCTTGATCTAATGTCTTGGGCCTTTTGACAGTTTAATACAATGAAGTATTTATAGTTCTTGTAAGTCTACATAAAAACTCATTTTGTCTTTTGGTTTGTTGAAGACCGTGGTGGGTTGCATACCGGCCCCCAAAAGGCAGGCCCAAGTCCTAGTCCCTGGAACCTCTAGAAAAAGGATCTTAGTTAATAATAGAGTATGATATAGTGGAAATTTGCCAAGAGAGTAATTTCAGAATCTCCCCACCCCCCACCCAAGGTGATCATGTGAGAAGATGGATATGGTATCTTGTCTGACGGTAGTAGTCATTTTACTATGTATATTTTTATTATTTAAAAATTACTGTTTACATTCCAAAAAGGGGGGGAAAGGGTCTGTGCAGATGTAATTATAGTAGGGATCTTGAGATGCGATCATTTTTTACATAGGTGACAGGCATGGGGAGACTTGAGACAGACACACAGGGGAGGAGGCCCAGTGGAGACATTGGCAGGTTGAAGTACTGTAGTCCAGCCCTGAACACGTGGAGCCACCACAGCTGGAAGAGGTTCCTCCCAGAGCCTTCAGAGGGAGCGTGGCCCTGCTGGCAACTTGGTGGTGGACTCCTGGTCTCCAGGAGTGTGAGCTGTGTTCGCCTCCGTGTCAAGGTCGCCCATTGCTGCAGCCCTGGGAGATGAACATAGAGACTCAGATCAGACACTTAATCAGCACAAAGGAATTGGCTTTAGGGACGGGCAGGGGATTGAGGGAGACACGTCGCTACATATGCTGCTTCAAAACAGGTCCCTGTGTCAGGAGCAGCATGATGCATGAGAATGTGGGCCTCAGGTTCTTCCAGGCCTCAGGCCTCCTGCCACTCGAGGAAGGAAACACACCTGGAAGTGCTTCCTTCCGAAGTTGTTTTTACTCTGTGAAGTACAAGGGTCTGGGGTGCCAGCCGGAGGCTCCCTGCCGTGAGCTGTGGCATCCTTGCTGTCAGGAATTCCCAAGCTGGCGTTGCTCGGGGGACCTGGAATTGTCTTCACCTGGGGTCGGCTCTTTCTGCTCTCTCTCTGTGCCTCACTCAAGTCCTGTGTCGTTCTTTTGTGTTGTTTGGGATATAATTCATCCTCCCACCAGCTTGGTGCTGTTTTAAGGGGGCTTTAAAAATTAAGAGCACTAAGTAGAGGAACCCTTTCCTAAGATAGGAAAATCTTAATTCTGACTTTTCAAATGGTTGACTAAGGACGGAGGCAGAGTTCAGTGTCTGCTGCTGCACTTGAACTGGGGGAGCAAATAGCTCTCACCTGAAGGCCTCAAGCAGGCAGACGGCTGGGCCGCAGAGATCATGGCTGGCACCACAAAGCTGTTTCCTTTAGACTCACTCTCTCCCTCTAGTCACCAGGAAGCCTTTCTCACAGGCTGCCCGTTGGCCGCTTGTTGAATGTGTGACTGAGGTTGATCTGTGCTGGACAAGCTTTTTGGAAGGTGCTATTATTATCTTTTGCTTCAGATATCACTTAGAATGTTATAGATTTGTCCAGTCAGCAGGCGGAATCCTCCACAGCCTCTGGACTTTCATGGGGGTATTTCCATGTATCTCTTTCCCCTTTTGATGACAGGGCAGTGATTGGCTTGAAGGGACCTGCCATCTCCAGTCAAAAAACCATCAGGGCTATTTTCTGGATTTCTTATTGTAACTAATAGGAAGGCTCGTGATTGGGGTGACTTTTGCTCCTCAGAGAGGATGACCTCAGTGGACCTTTATTTTGTTACAAATACTCCTTCTTCCTTAAAAAGAAAAAATCAATTTTCTAGGCTTGATTGACAGAAACTTCTGGGATGTGGGATGGAGATCTAACCCCTGGACCAGGCATGGTTTTGCTCCTGCTGTCTTCAGAGATAATTGGCCACAGGAATATAGGCCTTGCCCTCATAACATCCTGTAGAAGGGTTGTTTCCTCTGTACTGAAGAACAAACACTGATTTCTTTTGGAGACAAAGGATCTTGTTCTTGATGAGCAACCAAACAACTGCAGCTGAAGAGCTCACAAAGCAAACCCTGAGCACACAGCATGTCCCTGCAGTGGGGGACTCTCAGGGGGACTTGCTCAGCAAGGCAGCCTAATCCCCCTTGACTGGACACGCAGAGACCACAGTTTCCAAGAGCAGGTGGTATCCTGCAGGCCTGGGAGAAGCTTTGGGTTGAAGAGGAGTCAGAGAGTGGACTCTCTCCAGGGGGCTGAACACTGGAACGTTCTGCAAAGAGAATCGAGTCTCATAGCACAATCTCAATTTTTGATTGGGTAATGATTCAAGAGAATAGAGGGGAGAGAGAAAACACAGTAACACAAATGATTAACGCCAAGTCAAGCTGTTCAGAAGCTTCTTTCCTGTAAAAGGGGTGGGAATGAGTGAAGCCATGCCATTGTCCAGGGATGGCCCACGCCAGCAGGCAGGCCAAGCCACCAGCTGCTTGGCTTTGCAGATCAAGTTTTATTGGAACACAGAAATGCCCGTTCATTTACATACTGTCTGGGGCTGCTTTCACTTTAGAGGGACAGAGTTAAGTGGTTGCGAAAGAGACATGGTCCACAAAAATGACAATATCTATTTACAATACAAGCTCACCATCCTTGCACCTGACACATGCTGCAACCTGTAGTATTAAAAAGCATTACTGGGCTGGGGATGTGGCTCAAGCAGTAGCGCGCTTGCCTGGCATGCGTGCGGCCTGGGTTCGATCCTCAGCACCACATACAAACAAAGATGTTGTGTCCGCCGAAAACTAAAAAAAAAAATAAAATAAATATCAAAAAAATTCTAAAATAAATAAATACCAAAAAATTCTAAAAGAAAAATAAAAATAAAAAGCATTACTAAACAAGACCAGCACCTTCAGACTGTGCACGTGGATGCTTCAATTTTGAACAACTCTATTTCAGTATAAAGGGGCCATTGTTGCTGGCAGGTATATTCTTTAAAGGGCTGGGGAGGTAGGAAGGGCTGACAGAGAGTCAGTTGCCCCCTGCAGAGCCCTTACTGTTTAGGAGGCCCTGGGCTCAGCACTTGGGAGGGGACCAGGATGATCATGGCCCATGTCCTCCTTGCGGGTGAGGCGGACCCTAGCCCTACAGCGCTGCTCTCTGGAATGAGAAGCTGGGAATGTCTGTCAAGGGGCAGAGCAGCCTCCAGGAGGAAAAGCACTTTCTCTTAGAGTTTCCCACCAAAGAGTACAGGTGGGTTTCATGTTTTGAGGTTTTTATTATGTCTGAAGCGTCTTAATTCTGGTTGTGACTGTGTATAGAAGTTTAAGCTGCAAATCATTTCCATGCAGGACTCCAGTCCAGAGCATGCCTAAGACAGGTCTGAGGATGTTGCTTTCCTCATTTTTCTCTATTTTTTTTTTCTGGGACCTCCTAGGATATTTTCTCTGTCTCTGGTCATCTGAATTTCCTGAAGATGATGTGCCTTACTGGGCTTCTTTTATTGACTTTATTGTCCTGGTCACTCCACGAGTCCTTTTAAGCTGGAATTTCATTACTTGTACCTCTGTGGTCCCTGTTTCATCTTTGGAACTGTCTTAAGCAGATGTTGAATCTCCTGGACTCTTAATCTTTTTATTATCTTTTCTTTCCTATT